CCTCCCAGCAGATGTCAGGGTAGTTTAGGTCACCCATGACAAACATCTCTCTCGACTGTACGGCCTCTGAGAGCTGCCTGGCGAATTGCAGGTCTATCTCATCCTCCTGGTATGGCGGTCTATAGTATACCCTGCCACTACCAAGTCCCTTTCCCCCCAACCCTCTTGTAACCTAACCCACAGTACCTCAATTTGGCCCTCCTCTGATCCCATCTTGATGAGAGAAAGTGTATATTGCTCCTTACACAGAGAGCAATGCTCCCTGCCCTTTTTTCCCCACTCTATTCCATCTGTACAACCTACAACCTTCAATGCCTACTACCCAGTTGTGAGTAGGGTCCCACCAGGTTTCAATTAGCCTGGGCTATGGGATGGGGGGGCCCACCCTGGCCCCTGTATCCAAGAAGTAGGGCGGGGGGCTCCAGCCCCAGTCCCCACTGCTATGGCAGTGCTCTGCAGTGTGGGGTGCAATGAAGCTAGTGCTGAGCAGCCAGCACCCCACGCAACAAATCAGAGTGTAAATAAAGCATTATAGACAGACAGACTAAGGCTTTTATTATATTAGAATTATGGCTTTGGACTAATATTATGCATAGTTTGTACTATAGACAAGTAGATACAAAAGTGCTGCTTAAAACAGTGTTTATTGAGTACCTATGCTAAAACTTGCAGCAGTTTCAAAAAAGTAAAATGCATCAGTTCTGAATAAACTAAGTCCAGGAGCGCCCACTGTAATTTTACCACAGGCATGTTTTTTTAAAAGTCATTGTTTTTCAAATTTGCCCCTCACTTGCGTGTGCTGAGAGAGAGCAGGGTCTGACAGTCAGAGAGGAAGAAGGGGCTGCAGGAGGAAAAAGTTGGGGGGGAGCAGAGAGCAAAGGAGCTACCTGACTCCTTAGATATATTTTCCCTGCTGTAGAAGTGGGAGGGAGGATACACTCAAGGCAAACCTCCAATAATTAGATTCTATACTTGGAAAATTATATCAAATTTGTAATTTTTCCAGGTACAGAATCTAATTATTACAGGGCCATCTTACATTCAAGTAAATACGGTAGTTTTCTCTCAGCCTCAGTTTGTCATCTGTGAAATGGGTAAAACAACTTGCATAGCAAAGGTGATGCTGCGAGTCAATGGCAGAGTTTATAGACTCTAAATCTCCTGGCTGTCACATACCATGTCTATTAAATCAAGCACTCTCAGTCAAGCTGCCCTTGAACAAACCAAGATCCTTTGTGCCCTTGTACAGTGGACCTCTGGCACAGCGTCTCTTAACCCGTGGGTCGTAAACAACCTTTAAAAATAGATTCTCCTTTAAGGGAGAAAAACCATGGGAAACTATGGCTTTTCCCTTCCAGGCTGGCAGAGCTCCAGCCTGTGAGGGGCTGCTTGGGCTCCCCCCACAAACGCTGCCCCTTTGCCCCCACTGCCCCACACAGTAGGGGGCGAGGGCCTGGGGGTGAGGGGCAGCAGGTTAGGAGTGGGGGGCACTGGGTCAGGGCTGGCCATCGATGTTTACAAGTGGGTCCCAGTACCAAAAAAGGTTGAGAACTACTGCTATAGGAAACTGCTTTGCTGTTTTTTAAGGGAAGAGACATTACAATTCTGATTTTGTGTACCCAGGTTTTGAAAGGAATTCTCATTATGCCAACTGCTGGGATAGGATATCTCTTCTCTTCACCTGGGAAAGCAGAGCACATCTCCAGGAGGAAGGTAAGGGACCCAGAACCTTTCCTGTGGGCACCCAAAATACAGATGAAATGCTTGTCTACATAACAGCTGCACTACTTGAACTGTCTTGGTATAATTAAAAGTGTCTATTCCCTTTGTATGGATGCCATTATATCAAAAGAAAGATAACTGAAGACCGTAGCTTACTCCTGTGCAGAAGGGAATATCAATACCATATATCTTTATCTGTGCTCCTAAATTCTTAGGGGTTCCAGTGATGATATAGCCATATCAGGTGGAGAAAAAACTACATCCTAACTGAAATACCAACTCAAAAATCTAGGGGTAGACCAGATCTAACTGTACTACACTGTGCAGGCATTTTGTAATATATCTATAATGATATTAGCCTCTTTCTATGAAGTACTATAGAGACAACTTTAAGAAGCATCTTTGGTAAATAAATTTCAGATGACATGCTAGGAGTCATTCAACAAACAACATACAAGCACACAGAATTGTTCCCAAGGGCCAGGCTACCTTGGAGACATCAAGAAGTTACTCTCCCAGCTCGTGGTGTTCTCCCTTAACATATTTGTAGGTGGCTATCAAGTCACCCCTCAGCCTTCTTTTACTCAGACAGAACAAGACCAGATCCCAAAGTCTCTCCTCATAAGGCCTATCCCCCCAGGCCCTTGATCACGTGGGTGGCCCTTCTCTGCACCCTTTCGAACTTGTCCACATACTCCTTGAAATGCAGTGCCCAGAATTGGACAGAGTACTCCAGCTGTGGCCTCACCAATGCTGAATAGAGGGGGAGGAGCACCTCTCTGGATCTATTGGTGACACACCTGCTAATGCACACCAGAGTTCTATTTGCTCTGTTGGAGATTTCATCACACCGGTGGCTCATATTCATCCTCTGGTCAGTTGTGACCCCCAGGTCCCTTTTGGATGTAGTGCCAGCTAGTGGACCACCACCCATCATATAGATATGGTGAGGGTGAAGGACCCAGCATTTGTCCCTGTTGAACCTCATCTGATTGCATTCAGCCCATAGGAAACAGCCTGTCAAGGTCATCCTGGATCTTTGTCCTGTCCTTGGACATATCCCCACAGCTTGGTGTCATCCACAAACTTAATCATTGCGCTTTTCACTCCCTCATCCAGGACACTGATAAAGTTGTTAAAGAGCACAGGCCCAGGCACTGATCCCTGGGGGACACCATTGGAGATGGCCCTCCGGGATGAGGCCACCCCATCAATTACCACTCACTGAGTTCAGCTGCTGAGCCAGTTGCCAACCCACCTCACTGTAGCCTGGTCTAAGCCAGTACTCTCCAACTTAATTGAGAGGATTTTGTGGGAAACACTATCAAAGACCTTGCTGAAATCTAGGTAGGTGATGTCCACCTCCTGTTCCATGTCCAGCTGCTTAATTACCTGGTCATAAAAGGACACCAGGTTTGTTAGACATGACCTCCCCTCAACAAAGCCATGCTGACTGCTTCTCAGTACCCCACCAGTTGTGAGCTTGTAGTTGATGTCCTCCTTGTCTATTTTTTCAACGATTTTTCCCAGGACTGACTGGTCTATAGTTAGCAGGGTCACCCCTCTTTAAGAAAGGAAAGATGGATACCACGTTAGCCCTCTTCCAGTCATTTGGGACCGCTCCTGAGTTCCACAACTCTTTGAACAGCCTCACCAGGGGCACTGCTATGAGCTCAGCCAGTTCCTTGAACACTCTCAGATACAGGCAGTCTGGCCCAGCCAACTTGAAAATGTCCATATGATCTAAAAGTATCTTCACCTGTTCAGGACTGATTTTATGTGGACTACTGTCATTGCCATATTCTCTGTGCCTCTGGACAGGTGATGAGTTCTCACCTGGTTTCAGGAATACTGATGCGAAGTAAGTATTAAGGAGCTCTGCCTTTTCATGGGGGTCAATTGTGGGCTTCCCCTCTGTATTCAGTAGGGGTACCACAATGGAGCTTGATTTTTTTTCTTGCTTCCTATGTACCTATGGAAGGATTTTTTGTTGTCTTTAACTACAGTTGCCAGTTTCATTTCCATGCATGCCTTGGCTTTCCTTGCCTCGTGTTTGCAGACCCTGGCTGTGTAAGCGTAGTCTTCTCTGGATGCTGAACCATTTTTCCATTGCATGTACGCTGCTTTTTTCTTTTTGAGAAGTTCCCTAATGTGTCTGTTGAGCCAGGCAACCCTCTTGGCCCCTCTTCCACTTTTTGACTGCATGGGGATGGCCTCTTTTTGAGCAGTGAGAATAGTCTCTTTGAGGAAGCGTCATCCTTCATAAGCTCCTAGGTCATCCAATTACTGGTTGCAAAAGGTCTTACCAACCAGACTCCTAAGGTTGCCAAGGTCTGCCCACCTGAAGTCTAGGACGCCTGTTCTGCTGATAAAATTCCCAGCCTTTCGGTAGATGGTGAATCTAATCAAATTGTGATCACTGTCACCCAGAGCACCTCCAAACTTCAGGTCACCTACCATGTCTTCCCCTTTGGTCAGCACCAAGCCCAGAGTGGCTTTACTCCTAGTTGGCAGACCTCTGGAGCAAAGGGGTCTGGACAACAAATAGCACCTTTTATTCCTTGCAGCAAGGAGTCTCCCACTGCATTCACCCTATGTTTCTTCTGATGGTGGCTGTTCCTGTCTTGTCCTTGGTGCGGAGAATGCAAATGCCTCTTCCACTGATGGTGTGAGGGCTGGGTAGTTGTTATGTAGGGCTATTGGTGGAGTGGCTGACAGACATTGTGGCTTTGGGCCTGATGTGACCAATCTCCACACTGTCATTAGAGGCATCTTGCTGGAACTTGCTCTTATTCCTGGTCTCAGTGTCATACTTTTCCAGATGGCTCCCAGTCTGCTTGCCTCCTACTGGAGCTACCTCACCTGGCCCTCCAGTCTCCACCAGTGAGCACATCCCACAGTAACATGCTGCCTCTTCTGGGCATATTCTGCACTTGGTGCAGGAGCACGCTGAATTTTAATTAGACTTTTTTCACATCTGTAAGCAGCCTAGTAATTAGGACACTCTCTGAGCAAATGGGAGATCCATGTTTAGTTCCTTCCTTCCCCTCAGGGGGTTCAAACCTCTCTCTCTTCCTAGGGAAGGACGTGGCCACTGTCCAGAATTCAAGATTCAATAGGGAAAGAAGGTGAGAGTGCCCAGTGGGCATTCCCTGAGATGGGCCAGATCTGGGTTCTAATCCCTGCTTCCAGTCCGGTTTCCGTTTTACATTAAATAGCCATAAGAAATTACAGGTGATTACATGAGTTAAATCCATCCTTGGAGCAAAGACACTTACCTCTAAGAGAAAGTTTCCAGTTGTGGAGGGTGGTACCTCCTTGCAGTCTGGAGTAAGGTGTTCAGGGCTAGAGGGTGTGGGATTTGGGAGCTTTTTTTTGTTAGCTAGCTGCAGCCAATCATGCTGATTTCAGCTGACTTAACAGGCTGGCTCTTTTGGACCCCATGTGGAGTTACCTCATTCTACCCATGCACTGCATGAGGAGCTTGGGCACCTCGCTCTAGATTCTACTCCAGGACCCAGATACCTGAGTTTTTAGTGCTGGGAGGAGTGGGGGGCAGCAACTCACCACAAGTGGCATGGGCAGCCTGTGTGTGCAGCACATGGCAGACTGGGGAAAGAACAAGCAGTATAGCAGGAGATAGGACAAGAAGGAGAAAGCAGAGCAGTAGAGCACAGGGCAAGGAGCACAAAGCCAAGTAGCTGAGCAGCCAGGGAGCATGGGGCAGGAAGCAGAAAGCTGAGCAGCAGATCAGCCAGGGAGCATAGGTCAGAAAGCTGGGAGCACCCTGGTAAGCAAAGCAGCAGATCAGGCAGGGGAAGTGACCTGGAGTAGCGCTCGGGAACGGCAGGAGGGTAATTTGTGGCACACCTGCCACACCGGTTGTTGCCCTGCAGCTGTAGTGGCTCCTCACAAGAGGCTGACACCCCTGTGTGCATGGCTGTGCTTCACCCCGCTCCACCCCTCTTCACAAAGATGCTGCCGGGGGCAGCACCGCATGAAACACCCTGGGAGGACCAGGGTCCCTCTAACGTGGGAGGGGGCACCGGTTCTAGCTCACTACCCGATGCCCGGACATAGCACGGAGAGGAATGGCACAGCCCCCCCGCCCCAGCTCCAGCTCACCTTGGTCCGACCCCCAGCGGGAACTTAGCTCGAGGCGCCCCCTGCTGCCTGCGCCGGCCTAGCCCGCAGCAGCACAAGAGAAACGCGCTTCCCGGTTCGCTGGCGCCGCCATTGTGACGTCACGGCCCTGTATGATCCTCTCCTCCCGCTCCTTAAAGGAACAGTGCCTCAGAGCCAGCACCCCTTGGTTAGCCGTGGCGGGCAGGTGAGGCGCGACGCTGCTGAGACTCCCCGGGTAGGGGCAGAGCTCCCGCACTAAGTGGGTTTGAAAGCCAAAGATTTGGAGAGGAAGGTCATCAGCTAAACAAAGCAGACCCCCGAGAAGGCAGCCGCGGGGGCCGCCTGCACTCGTGTCGGTTGACAGAGAAAAAATGATCGGGTTATCAGATTCAGACCTCTGAGATCACCAGCACTTGAACACCTTAGTCAGGCGAGAATTAAATTCAGGACACGTTCCTGTCCGTACGCAGTCGCTGGATGCCCGATGAGCCAAATCAGAGCTAGGTCAGGCTGTCACCCGTATAAGAGCCTTGGGGAAATCCCCGTCGTACAAAAAGACAGGTTCTTTGGCCATTTTGCCTGGCACACCAATGAGGGCTGCCAGCCACAAAGCCCCGGCTGCTCCCAGCAGGCGGTTGGGCGGCTGCAAGCCCTCCTGCAAGCCGACTGGGCTCTGTGGTTGGCAGCAGCTACCCGGAGCCTGGGCCGGTTGCAGCCAGGAGGCTGCAAAGATCTGCTCCCAGCTCCGACATTAGCTCCATACCCGCGGGTGCACAAGCGGACGGTGGGCTGGCTGTGCTGCCTCAGGCCGGATCCTCACCATCTGCTCCAAGGCGCACGTGCACCCGCCAGTATGGAGCTGATGCCGGAGCCCGGAGCAGCTGTTTGCAGCCTCCCAGCTGCAGCCGGCCCAGGCTCTGGTAGCTGCTGCTAACCACAGAGCCCAGGCTGCTTGCAGCTGAGCCCATCTGACTCCCACCTATTCCGAGCCCAGCCTCGGCCCAGCCCCCACACCGGGATGAGGCTGGCGCAGCCCCTTGCCGGGAGCACCGCACTTTTTGTGGGCTTAGCTGTGCGGGGAGGCTGGGTGGTTGGGCTGATGGGCAGGCTCCGGCCGGGGCCTCGGCCATTTGTGCTACAGCCCCCAGGGTAAGCACAGGGGCTCTGGCAGGACCAGGGCACTGCTGAGTTGGACTTTGTCCGGTGGCCCAGGAGCCCAGTTCCGTGCACCTACACATCTGGTTCTGTGTGGCCACACGTGTCTGGTTCTGAATGTGTGTGTGCATGTGTCTGTTTTGGGTGTGTTCTGGTTCACTGTGATTGTGCGTGTGTCTGGTTCTGTCTCTGCTCTTCTTTTTCCTTCTCTTTCTCTGTCTGTCTCTCCTCTTTCTCTTGTCTCTTTTTTCCCCTCATTGCAACATGCTCAACAAAAAAAGGAATACACCTTAGGCAACAAAGGCAACATTTATAATTATTAAATATACTAATTTGCAGTGCATCCTGCCATGTAACAACACCCCATTTTGTTTTTCTGGCATGTTGGCACTCCAGCACCTTCCAAGGTAGACATTGTAGTTTTTTCGGCATCCCAGCCAAAAAACGTTGCCTACCCCTGTATTAGACCAACTCAAATAGTTGGAAAAATTCTTCTGAGCAAACTTTTGGGCACAAAAGCACCCGTCCTGCAAAAGGGCAGGGCAGATGGCGGCATAGAGACTAATTGCTTCAGAGAGGCAGGAGGTTTCTTAGACAACAGCCTCCTTCATTAGATACTTCATCTGACAAAAATAAGCTGTCACCAGTGAAAGCTCATGTCGCTCTCTCCAGGTTAGTCTCTAAGGCAATGTTCTGATGAGCACAGACATGTGGTATGTGGCACTGCAGACCTGTCTGTGGCACCAAACTGCAAATGCAGCCATTCCTGCACTGCTTAGGTTTGCTTTTGCTTGCTTAAGCATAATTTCATCTGTCATTTACAACATTAAACACTAGTCATTTCATCTTTCCTGAACAGCATTCTTGTTGTTAAATATCACAGAAGCCAGAACACAAGGGCTGCATCCAGAGAAGCATGGATGTGCAGTATGTGGTGCAGCACACGCCGCCCAAAACCAGAGCCTAGCCAACCAAAGCCATGCTCCGAATGCCAGCCAGGCTCCCTGCTGCAGCTCCCTGTGGCTCCTAGGACCTCAAATAAGGCTGCTGGGGCCAACACAGTTGCTGGCCCCTGCCTCCCCTACTGCACCAGAGCGCACGTGGCACAGATATTCCCTGGGATAAGCAGCAGCAGCAGCACAAAGTGTGCTGCTGCTACTTGTCCCCAGAGAAACAAACATCCACACTCATCTGGACACAGCCTTAAAAACTAACTGGTTCAGAGAGGCAGGAGGTTTTGCAGACAACAGTCTCCATCAGATACTTCATCTGACAAAAATAAGTAGTAACCAGTGAAAGCTCATGTCACATTGACTGGGTTAGTCTCTACGGTACCACCTGCCCTGCCTTCTGCCTCACTTGACTAACCACCTCTTTCTTCCTCTATACAGGAACAGAAAGCCCAGAATACAATTGAAGCCAAGCCGCCACACACAAGTGTGCGTACACAAACACACAATATCCTTCACCAACACTGTCACCTTCAGAGGTAGCCAACCAACACTCAAGTCTGCACCCTTCCCCACAGAGAGTGGGGCAACAGGCTGTCAGGGCTCCCTATTTCCAATATGGTGAGGAGTAAGTTGGAGCAGATGTCAGGACACAGCATGCACACAGGGGTGAAATCATTAGACCCATGACTGTAGGTTCACTACCTGCATGTTTTTTCTCCCCTGTAGGCACAGAAGCAGTGACATTTATTCAGGGCCTGTTGTTCTGCAGCTGTTATAACAATAGTGCAGCGTCTCTGCAGCCTGGAGGAAGGACATTTGAATTTTTCTTGTCCTGTGTCCTCTTTAGCATACAGACCAGGTACTCGGTGCTGCCTACTGTGTCTTGCTGCATTTGAATTGGCCCCTTTTGTTGATCAAGTGCACTTAGGACCATAGTCTGTAATTTTACAACAATCTTTATGCAGTGGCATATCAAACCCATGATCTTAAATGTCAAAACTATTTCACACCTGAAATCAAATAAATCACTTATCTATTAAGGTTTGTATAGTGTTGTAAAGATAAAAAAACACATTTCCTGAAGAAATAATGTGAATGTGGAAAAAATTATCTCCAGAAGACTAGGGCAGAGCAGGGGAAATCATTCTTAACACAAATAGCATTAAGGATTATAAGGGAATGCTTGTGAGCTCTGGGATCATAATCAAACTCAATATAGCTACCAACAAGTATCCTATCTTAAATGATAACTAATGAGGTCAAAAGATTGTTTTTAATTCATATATATAAAGGGATAATATTAATATATAGGGCTGTGAAATTAGATTGTGCATTTTAGCTAAACAAAACCCTAAAAGAAACTTTCAGCTTCAAATGAGTTGCAGGTGTTAAAGTTCACAAAAAAGATTCTGATCACTGAATTTCAGTCAGGCATAAGCAAAGGATGAAATAATGATGGACTGAAAACTCAGGAGACCTCCTTTCTTATTCCTTGGCTCTCATGTTTAAAGGTGGGCTTTGCTTTGCAGCTCCAGACTCATCCCAGAGGCATAGAAACAGGTTGATGTCACATTTGCCTTCAAGTTAAAGTTGGACATACATACCATCGTTATTTATGATAAAGATCTTGGGTTCCAGAGCTCCTAATGTCTGTGTAAGGCCTCTTATAAACAAATCAAATAACAGATCACCAAAACAGCTAATAAAATCTGATTCCCTAACCAGTCTGGTTGTGGAAAACTTTATAGCATGATTGCAGTTAGGACTCTAGTGTTGACTGATTTGTATGCATCACTGGAGAGTGAGTGGGTTACAGCTGCAAGTTCATAACTGACCAAAAACTTCTCTGCACTAGTTTTTATGAGTTCTTTTTCTATTCATGATATTTCTTCAGTATTGATAGCAACACCAAACATCCTTTCATTAAAACACTGTGTGAACTGTGAAAAAGTACTACTTTTCTCAGTCAGTAATTCATATTTTCCCTATGGCAGAACTATAGACGTAATCGTCTCTATATACACTATTCAAAAAAACAAATCAGGATGAAAAATATTTTTAAATTAAATTAAAATATGTTATAATAGATGTTTGCTTTTTAGTATATGGTTTTTTGTTTTTTATCTATAATTTGTTAACATATCTTTTGAAAGATTTTATGTGTGCAACCCTCAACAGCTCACCAAAACTTAAGTGGCCTGCCAACCGAAATAATTGCCATAGCTATTACCATGGGCACATCTAGGATTTTGAAAAGTGGGGTGCAAACAATTCAGTGCATCATCATACACTTTTTTTCTCCAGGTAAAAAGAAATTAAAAGCTTTACTAATACGCTAGGGACCTAGGGCTATATTATTCAGTTTAAGATCAAAGCAAAAACAAATATTACTTCATTAGATTGTACATTAATTTGCTGTATCATATGTTGCGTATTAAAAACACAACAAACTAGGCAAGAAAAAAAAATGTTGTTTCTTTGTCCTGTAGTGATTAGAATGAATTGTACAACTTTAGAATCATGAAAGAAAATCAAGCCTTCTTAAGCATTTTGACAGTGTATCTATCCAATAACTGGAAGTTATTTCCACGTGTGTTTTAATGTTCACCAGAGTTAATGTTTCCACAACTGAATTAATGTTTTTAGCTAGAGTTAAAAACAGTCTGCAGGGCTATGAAATAGGAGCTACTTTACCAGGAGTAAATAGCAGACAGCAGAACTGCAGAAAAAAGTATAGCTTGATTAGTGGAAACTTAAAACATTAAGAAGAGAGGGTCGTTAATGCTGGAATGAAGAGTTCAGAAAGAATCAGGTAAACTACAAAGAGCCACAAAATCATGTGACACCCTCACTGCTGCCTGAATAGAAATGATGATGCCACTGCCAACTTGTTTTAAACTTTGAGTGGACCATATCCTATGCAAAACATATTCTATGTAAAAAAATTCCCCCACAAATATATTCAAGCCTCATGAATAGGTGTTTTACTTGCACCTTTCAGTGACTTCATAAACACCAATCATATGATAAGCTCTATAAATCAAATGTGGAAGGGACACAGTCATCAAAATGTGAATGTTAGCTGCTGTAGATGCAGCTGAGGCATCCATCTCTGATCTTTTCACAAGATTAAGTCTGAATCTGTATTCAGTGCCGGTTATTGACAGAGCCTCACTTAGGTAGTTATATTAGCAAGAAATAGTCATGTGTTCTGAGGAAGCTGGTAAGGTTTCATTTATTTCTGACTTCTGACAGAAAAATGCACACTTGTAATACAAATTGATTTAATAAAATCAACATATTTGGACAATATTTTAAAATTAACTCACACTAGAAACTCTCTATGAATATTCAGTAATATCAGAAGTTTGTCCGGTAAAACCCCCACTTCTTGGAACAGAATGTAGACTTAGAATTTATTCAAATGATGCAGTAAGACAGTGTTTTCACGCAAGATGTGAACACACACATACACACACACAACTCAGTTGCATCTTTAGAGATGAGGATGATGGAGTATTCTGGTCCACATGAATTTTGTAAAGCAAACAATGTAGAGATACCAGAAAAAGGGTTTATTATAAGTTTTATCTAACAAGCTTCAAGGCATTTCTTATGTATGAAGTAATGAAGCAAATCCTTTCTTCTTGCATGTACCTGTTGGTCTCTTGTGCCCATCTAGACATTCAGGTAAGGGTGTAATAGGATTGGATGCTCAATCTATATAGTCACACCTTCCATGCCAAACATGCATGGCAGGCGGCGTAACTGTGGGATACAGCTAACAAGCTTCAAGGCAGTTCTTCTGTATGATGTGATGAAGCAAATCCTTTCTTCTTGCGTGTACCTGTTGGTCTCTTAGGGCTAGTCCAGATGTTCAGGTAAAGGCGCGATAGGATCAGATGTTCAATCCACACAGTCACACCTCCTGCCATACCATACATGTGTAGCAGACAGAATGACTGTGGGATCCAGCATCAGATCCTATCACACCTTTTTGCTGGTGTAGAGGGAGCCCAGCAGTGCAATCCCAGGCTCCCCCTGCACCAGCTCCCATTGCTGTGAGCCCCACAGCTGGCCAGGCTCACAGCTGTGGCAATGTTCTCCCCACTGCCTCTATTGCAAGCCCCACAGCTGAAGAGGCTCGTAGTAGCAGCAGCATTCCCTCTGGTGTCCTCCCTCCAAGCCAGGCAGCTGTCAAGTCTCACAGCAGCGGTAGTGTTCTGCCTACTGGTGCAAGTCCCACAGCTGATTAAGCTTGCAGTGGTAGCAGCATTCCCCCCACTCCCCTCGCAGTGAGCAATATGGGGGTGGGCAGCATTTTCTCCACTGCCCCCATTGTGGACTCTGCAGCTAATGAAGCTAGCTAGTTGCAGCTAGGTCACAACTTACAGCATTATTAAATGGTTAATCACACTTGAAGTGTAACATATAGATGGGGCCTCATTGTCTTCACTTAGCAAAACATAACATTAATATTCAGTTGGAGTAGAAAAATACAAAATTGTACTGAAAAGATGCAGAAAATATTAAACTTTAGAGTTTTTGTTCAATACCAATTTTCTTGAGAACTTTACTGTAACATTGTTAAATTCCTTTGTTAGGGAAATTTAGGCTTGAAGTAGTATTTTAAATTGCTAAGTGGACTTACTAAAAGGTGTTCTATTTTTTCTTATATTTTCAGATTGCAGTTTGTTAAGGGTTGCCATCAAATTGTGGGTCAAGAAACTCTTAGTACATTTTGAGTCCTTTGTTCAAAGCAAATTTGATCAGCCCCAATTTGCAATCGTATTGTCATTAGAGGGAAGAATGACCCCAAAACTACTGAACTGATCCCTCACCTGCAACCTTTGAATTATTGTAGAAATTGGTGCCTGTTTTAAAGTATCATGGAAATTGGGCCATAGGATTCTGGGATACATAGGAGAACTTGTCATGAGTTGAGAATTCCCTCACATTGTTTTAGAAAATGTTCTGGGTGTTCACCTGGCAAATTAATTTGTTTTCTCTGTAATAGTTCAACAATCTTTGAAGTTGCTCTTACTGCATATAAAACCCTGCATTATCTATATGACAAGATAAACCATTTTCTTTCCATTTATTTTTTTGGTTTTGAGCCCTAAATGTCGGTAGTTCCTCCTCTCAGGTTGTCCATATAGTATACTATGAAAAAGATCGGGATCACTTGTGGAAGGTGTCCTACAGGTGATGTAATACCATATGCTTCTCATCTTATGAACTAGAAAGGTAACCACTTCTGCCTCATCAGATGGTTCTTCATATACCGGCTGTTTCATATCTTCATAGGCAGACATAATCACAGCTTGGAACAAATTAATCAAGACACAGATCATCACCAGCATAAAAGAGGCTAGAAAAAGACCGCCCAGTAAGCGGTTGGATGTAAATTCCGTATCCTCAAAAGCTGAAACACAATAGGAGAATATAGTCTGAGCTGAATGAATCATATTATTGTAATTCCATTCGTGCTGGCCAAATGCTAGGTACCCAAATGCCATGTAGACAAAAAAGTACACTGCCACCACAAGTGCCATGGAGCAGATGCCAGGAAGAGCTGCCAAGATTGATCTTTGTGCCAGGCGAACATCATAAAAGAATCTGGAATACCTGAGAGTTTTCAAAACAATGAGAAATGCCAGAAAGCCCAGAGTTATCCTCAAAGTCTGATCTACATGAGACACTGCATGGAATGGAATGAAATTGTATGGGTGAAGTAAGTAAAACTTGACTATGTCTTCTGCCATCATAAATTTGATAATTTGTAGAGCAACAAAGACAAAAAGCACTGATTTCAGGCTAAAGTTGATCAAATTAGAAACATTTTTTATATAATCTTTCCTTTTTTGGTATATCATGTGAATCTCATCTGCAATATAAATGAAGAGAAAACCAGGGACAGCCAAGAAGCCCAACATTTGGATTTTAGTTAGATGGCGGAAAATGGGAAGTGTAAAGGAATGTACGGACAAGCTTGTATTGAGGAGCCCAAAATAAGAAACTTCAAATATAATGGAGATACTGCAAAACAAACGTATATCTGGATTGAATGTAGTGAGTTCAACAATCACAGCCCATGTCTCTTCATCAAGCCAATTGCTATTTTGTAAAGCTTCCAGCCTTTTGGTTGAATTAGGCCGTTGTTCTTCAGGGAAGAAATAAAAAGTGTACCCACCTGGTCCATATGTATGTAACTCTCCATAGGAAAAATAAGTCCATTGATTTCTGTTTGACTGGTAAGTAAATCCTGCATAGCTGCTGGCATCACTGGAAACAGATTTGTTGGTAGCCTCTGTCCAGGACCTGACATGGTCACCTTTCTCTTCGGGGTCACTGCCATATATGGGAAGACAATGGCTTTCACTTATCACAAATTTATTTACAAAGCTGTCAGGCTGGAAGCATTTTTTTTTAGTGCTTTTAGCCCTTACTTGCCGCATCCTAGGTAAACCAAGGATTTTAGACCAGCTGTCTGAAAGAAAGGTTGGTTGGTTGTCATTGTGGATCAAAGGCAGAAAAACGTTATTCACCCACAAGTAAATGTGTTCTAGTTGCGCCACATTGGAGAGCTGAAGAGAAAACTGTTTATGGGTAACCTGGTTGTAGTAAAAACTGTTGGTGTTTTCTTCAGAGTAAGCAATATTCAGTACAAGGGTTAAAAAGATAAAGTGACTGATGGTATCCTTTAGGAAAATGAAAGCTTTGTTTTTTATCATCTCTCTTTTCAACATGATTGCAATCTCGTCTTCCTCTAAAGGCTGATACTGCTTACTGCCCCGGGCTTTCACAAGTTTATAGTGCATTTCTCTCATCTCATCTGCATCCATAGTAACATCATCCAATTTAATCTCAAGATAATTTTCCCTGGTTGACCATGGGATGTGTACACAGTACTTTGGTCTAATTGCACTTAGGGCAGAAAGAAGGACAATTTTGAGGGTTTGAAAAAGCAGCACACTCTCAAGAAATGATGTTATGGAGGCTACAAGCCATTCCAGTGAGGTCTGGTAGCCATAGGACAAACCATATAATATGATGAAAAATGATGACACCCCAGCCACTGCTATGATCAATGCCCAAGAAACATAGATGCACCACCAAGAAAAAATTATCTCTGGTCTCTTGCGAAAGCGCAAGTAGGGAATGTTTAGTGGCCTCCTTTCTTTCCTGCTGCCATCACCCTTTTGTTCTGCATAATTATTGCTGAAATTGGTGTTTCGTGATAGATTCTGTCGGGCTTTTGGCTCTCGAGTTGACTCAGCTGGTACTTGCTCCTCCTCTGCTGCAATAGCATTTGCAGCACCCTCAGAAATGGCACAGTTACTCCAGTTATTTGATTTTATTTGTTTTTTTTCCTTCCTAATATCTTGTGAACTATAGGGACTTCCAGAATGGGATGGGTTCTCCAAAGACCTGGGACTCGCAGATCGTGCTGAAGTTTCTGAAAGGTACCATTTTTGCAGGCGCTCCCTCCAGTTCCTCAGGTTTTCAGACATGAAGGGTGAACTTTCTTCTGTGGGCTTCTGCTCTGTTCTCTGTGAAGGTGGCTCCTTCTGGGAGTACTTAAACAATGCAGTTATAATTATTTGCACTGGTATGATAACCAAAGCACTTTCAATTCCAGTGGCTATTGATCTCAAATACCGTATTTCTATTGAATAGTCTTCATTCTTCTCAACATTAAAAAACATAATGTTTATGAGCAGAGTCAATAACAATCCTGCCAAACAGCAAGACAATCTTTGGAGCCTGTTGAAAGAGCCAGTGACAACTTGAGCAAAAACAGAAAACCATATGTGATTATCTATCAAGTCATTTGCAAAATTTATCAAGAAATAGTCCTTTTTTACTAAAGGTACTTTTTGATTTGTAACAACAAATGTCCTGTCCAGTAAATGATCCTCTTTGCCAAGAGCAAGCCATTTTCTGCAAATGAACAACCAAAATTCTCTAGTGTACATATTTTCAACTTTGACTCGGCTTAAAAACCAATCTGGAGAAGAACCTGCATTGTTATGCCAGACCCGCAAAGCATAAATGTCTCCCAAATAATTCTTGGTAGTTAGCAAAACAGTATCTGTACCTCCACGAAGCAAAGATGGATAATTTGGGTGCTGTAAGCAATGCACATCACTGACGCCATGTTGGCCTATAAGTTGAAGAAAAACATCTGCTGTGGTTCCAGCCCCAAAGCGACTGCCTGTGTATAAAGTGACTAAGAAGCATACTTTATCAAAAGGATCATTGTCAGGCAAAACTATAACTCTGTCTCTGCTGAGTTTATCAGCCCTGTCTTTTCTCGTGGCCCAGATTGCCAAGAGACAATAGATCAAAAAAATGAAAGCCACAGTTAGAAGGGTCACTGGATTCCTGGGTATGTTTTCTAAAAGAGACCTTTCCAGATCTACTATGTTGGGAATGACTAACACTTTGGCAGCCAGGAATTTGATATTGTCTTTCAAAGACCCTGGGATCATGCGGCTTCCTGCTGCCTGGATGCCTGGTTTCATCTTGCAGATGCAGTGCACTCTTTCCCAGTTGGTTTTAGGGCCAACTGTGCATGTGTCTCCTTCCCACTGACTCTGCACTCCATCTAGGTCTAGACACTCAGCATTAAACAGGGCTATTTTCACCAAGTCATTGTTTTGCTTCCCTATAAAGGAGCTTGTTTGCAAAACAACAGAGATGTTCCATCTATTGGCCCCGCTGCCTGGGGCTGTGTCTCTTAGCAATGCCGGTGAGAGACAGATAATATTAGGAGTCTGAATCACACAATCAGTGCTCCTTGAATTATTCCCACTTGTAGGAAATTTGGGAGATGCAGTAAAAGAAGCTATTGGAGAGTCATGGGTGACATTAAGATCTGCATATAGAAGTACCTCAAAAGAAACTTCTAATCGGGTCAAAATCTGGATATATATACTACTGGAGTTTCTGTTCACTTCAAAAGCAAATCTTCCAGTTGTTTGAGGGAGTGTCTTATCAGGTCCAATTGTCAGCTGAAAAGCTGCAGAATCCTTATCTTTTCTAGCAATCGTCATCTCTGCTACTTCAGGAACGATCCCTATGGCGTCACCATTAGCCTTAGCTCCCATCATTTTGAACCCCGTGACCATTGTTGTAATATCAGAGAGGTGACCCAACCAAGGGAAGGGGTTCTCTTCAAATTCATAAAGAACTGTAGAAATAACAGCATCTATTGGCAATTCTGAATGATCTTCCTGTTTCAGTGTCGGGTAAAAACAGTTCTGGCAATCTTTTCTGGCAGAGAAAGCACTTGCAACATCCCACTTTTCATCTTTTTTTAGAGTCATATTCCAGGTTTGGGACTCCATGAGCGTTTCAGTTTTTCCAGGGACTTTGCCATGTAAGACAATGTCTGCTAAATCTTCCATGACGGAGAAGCTTTGTTTCACTGCATTCACATTGACATCGTTAACAGAAGCTCTCAAGACATTGGATAAGCCTGTTAGTACCCCAGCAGTCAGCAGCTCTGCTTCTTCAGACCCAAGGTTTCCCTTTCGATGTCTTTTCAGTGCCTCACCCACTTCTGACAGTTTATTAACAGAAATACGTTGTGATTCAACATTGACTTCACTAATTTCCTCTGTAATCTGAGAAATGCAAGCAGTCACTTGATTAACTTCCATTATACTGGCAGTAGAAATTCCTACAGATATGTTAAGAAGGCTTTCCCGAAATTCAGCCTTAGAGACCTGGAGATCTGGTGCATCTTCAACATCATTTAAAAGGGAGGCCACCATATAAACGAAATAGCCTGCATTAAAAAAATCTCCAGTTTGAAGAAAAGATGCCATTGGTGCATCTGACCCACTGGTTAAAGCCAACAGTTCATTTAGCACCACTTCTGGTGGTTTATTTTCAGTTGGATCCTGCACTGTTGCCTGCAAACTTACTTGAGAAAATGCTCCAAGTGAATCAGAGACTTGGATATAGATTGTAAGAGCATAGTTCTTGAATGGTGTGCCAATTGGGAGAAAAGAAGGAGGGGATTTTGGTTCATAACCAAAATAGACTATTGTCCCAAATGAATTTTCCTCCAGAGTAGTGATTTTACTTGTTTTTAATGAATCTGAAGCTGCTATTACTTTATATGTGAGAGGTAAATTCCTGTCTGAAAATCCACTACATTGAACGATGAAGGTGGTCTGGAATGCAATACCCTCAGTTGGATTGATTGCGCACCTTCCAATTCTAGGGGCAGAATTGACATAAAAAGAATACCTGGAGATTGATGATGCACCACTCCCAGTCGTTATTTTTAGGACAAGTGTATATGACTGGTCTGCAATATCTATAAAACTTAAAGCATTTATAGACAAGTATGCAGTAAACCTCCCTGTTGATGTTTTGGAAGCCCAATCAAATCTTTTTTCAGTGAGTCTTTCTGATAAAAGGGACCAACGATAAACTAGTCGACTAGTAGTTCTACAGTTTAGGCATTTCCCAGATAAAGTAAATCTATCAGTTGGAATTACAATTCGACCACAGTTTTCTAAGCATACAACATTCAGGCGTGGTGGGCGTCCAGACTGCACACTAACAGTTTGGTCCGCAGAACTGTTTCTGCCACCTTTTTCAATTACAAGACGAAAATGATACCTGGCATTCCCTGGAAGGGTTTCTGGCAAAACGGTCTGAATGGGACCAGAGGAGTTTATCCACTTCAAATCCACCTGATCCGGATGACAGGCTCCACTTTCACTCAATTGCATGTTTACATAGTCTACTGCATGTTTGCTGCAATACCAAGTAAATGTGATTCCCTCTAACCCTGTTGATGAATCGGGATCCTGGGAAGAAGATCCATCCAGAGTCCACTCATCTGAATACCCCACTGTTCGGAAACTGCCTCCTCTAATGTTTGCCACCAGGTCACCTGACTCCATTCGAACATAAGCTCTGTCTGATCCACTCAGAACTTGTGAAGTAACTATTGAAGTTACGTTAACAGAGAAAATAATCAGATATAAGCCAATATCTAAACTATGCTTGGGTATTGGTAAAAAGACCATGTTTTTATTCCGGATCATGGGTGTATCTAAAGGAGTTGTCAAGTCTGGTTCAGTTGTCATGTCTGGAACAGCATAAATTTGCCAGAGTGGGTTTGTAACTAGACTTCCGGTGCAGTTCGACTGGATGATGACAAACAAAGTAAGAAGCACCTCCCTTCTACCGCGTATGACAGGATCAGGGAGATCAGGTTTCTTGATCTGAACAGTCTGTAGGGAACAGGTTCTTCGCTGACAAGAGACCAATGACTCTATGACTTTGGATGCATAATTGTTGACTGTGACTTTTAACACAGCAGGTGTAAGTCCACTTCTGATGCAGTTCACCCTTGCCACAAACCCTGTGTATCGGGCAGGATTAAAAGGTAAACCAGAATGCCGGACATAGTGTGCTGCATTTTTCACATGGTCACCGTAAGTATAAGTACTGTTCTGGATGAGCTGCTCTTTCTTTGACCCAAACACCTGCAGATTGAAGGTCCACTCACACTGCAGCATGGGATGTTGCACAGGTATAAACCAAACAATGTAAATTGAAGTCTGCAAAAAAGAAGGGGTGCTGTTGAAAACATGGACTTCGATATCTCTGTCTACCAGGGACCTGAAGAGGGCTCCTTGCCGGTTCAGATAAAGGTGCATGTTGAACTTGTACCTCTGCAACTTGACAAATTCAACTGTGAGTAGGTAGGAGAGGTTCTGCTGTTGAAAGAGTACATAGTGGATGCTGGAACCATTACTGGGAGTACCAGCCTCATTTTCTTGGGTTATATAATAGAGTCCATGGGCCTGGCTGAAAATGTAAATGCCCATTTTGGTCTTCTTGGGGTTCAGTGTGATGTACGCAGGAGTCTGGCTGCTTGTTTTCAGGCTCAGTGCAGCACCAGAGAAACTCAGCTCCCCTTCCATCTCCCCCAGCCAGTCTCCATCCACATGGAAGTATAAGCTCGCTATGAGCATCTCACCAAGCTTCCGGGATGTGGGGAGAGCACAGAAGTTGCTCTGCCGGGCAAAAGGATTGTAGGATGTAGACCAGTTCCCTGTACCTTGCAGATCCAGCAGGCTATAAGCCAGTGTCCTGGGACCAAGGGTCCAGAGTTCCCAGGACAGGCTGAGGGGCTGCTGAGAGACACTGAGCATCTTAGAGTGGATGCTGAGCACGTGGAGCAAGGCAGGTTCCACCCTCAGGGACAGACTGAGTCTGATGGGAGGCCCCTGCTCAATGCTGACTGAGACAATGTAGAGGCCAGGGCGATGATAGCGCACAGTCAGGTGGTAGCTGTAGTAGGAGGCACAGGCCTGGTGCATCTCCACTCTGGGGTAGGCAGAAGCTGGGGGTGCCTCACGATGCTGGTTGCTGGGGATGAGAAGTGCAGGGGGGCTGCTCCCATGGCTACTGAAGCGATAATGCCAACGGGAGCTTTTCAGGCGTGCACACCAGCCCAGCTGCACTGGCTGCCATTCCTGAATGGGGAGTCCCTGAGGCCAAAGCAGGAAGAGCCGCACATCTTGTCCAGAAACCTCAATGCTCAGATTGCGGTGGAGGCATGTTGGTGCGGTGCATGAGGCTGACACGCACTGTACTGTGATGCGGCTCGAGGCCCAGGGTGGAGCTGGGCTCCCCCGAGCCAGGCCTGGACCCAGCACCACCCATCCTGACCAGCGAGAGGTGTCCTGCACCCAGGCCGAGTCCCGATACCAGCGGCACCGTGGTGGGGTCGACAGCTCAGTCTGCCCCTCCCTGCTTGTGGCTACAGCTCCAGGGGCTGGTCTGTAGCGCAGCTGGATGGCACCATCCCACAGGCAGGAGACCCAGAGCTCGTTGTCCCGGCGCCGATAGACACGTCCGTGGGGGTCAGAGCAAGCGACCAGCAGTGGCAAGGGCTGGAAGCTGGGAGGCACGAACGCTGCTGTGGTGGGGCAGCGGTAGCTCAGGAGGTGCAGGAGGAGGCTGGGGAGCAGCGGTCTGTGCATGGCAATGAGAAGGTGAGGGGCGCAGACCCCTGGGCTAGGAACATCAGTTGTTGCCCAACTGCTCCAACTGCCAAGGGACGGCTGCATGCAGCCCAGAACCTCCCCATCATCCTGCGCACGCACCATGGCCTCCCCACGGCACCCCGCACCCCTGCAACACCCCTCTGGTTGTTCCCACAACCTGACTCCTCTGCCCACCTTCACCCTGACCCCTCCTCCCCAGGCCCCCACGGGGGCCAAGCCCAGCTTCCCCCTGGCTGCCTCTGGCCCTGGTCTGGTGCAAAAGAGCCCCACGGGGGGGGCAGTGGGGGGGCCGGCAGGAGGGGGCTCGCATGGGATCTGAGGGGGTCAGACCCCGTCCTGCAGGGCCCGGGGGGCTGAGAGCCAGTGGGGAGTGCGACCCGGAGCGGGGTCCAGGCAGGGGGTAGGATCTCGGTGGAGCGGGGTCCGCGTTGGGATCCCAGCGGGGGGTCGGGTCTACCGTGAAGTCCAGAGCCGGACCAGTGGGACCCGCAGTGGGGTCGAGGGGGGGGTGGGATCCACAGTGAGATCCTGACTGGGATCCAGGGGGCGCTGGGATTTAGAGCGGGATCTGCTCCGGGAGCTGGGGCCTGGCTGCGCCCCCGTCTGGCCAGAGCGCGGTGCTGCCGAGTTTTAAATATAAAATGATCCTATTGGAAGCTCAAAATGATCCTGTCTGCTGAAAAACCGCCGTGCACTGGACAATTATGCAAAGAAGCATTACATAACTACGGAAACAAGTCTTCTTCTTCCTTGCTGTACACTGCTCACTGGAGCTTGGCAGTGAGTGAGTGAGGAGGGGTCAGCAACGTTCAAGTGTTTTTATTTGGAGGTGGGTCGTGGTGAGACCTTGCGGGGGGGCTTGCTCCTCCTCCTAGGCCCCGCCCCGAGGCAGGCAGTACTGGGCCGCACTGGGGCGGGAGTGGGGGTGGATCTGGATCATGGCGCCGCTGCGGGACTGCCAGGTGCGGGGCGCCGGCGGCCGGGCGCCGGACCGC